GGTAGGGCTGCTTCTTGCCTCTGGTGGGTGGATTTTATCAGAATAGGTAGTGCTGATCTGTATCGCTCAGCCACACCAAGGTTATACAGAGAGCAGCAAAACCCCGGGAGCATAACAGCAGGTCTGCTTTTAACCTCAACTTTTATCTCTCACAGCCAGCTTCCTTCCCACACCACAAGCACCACGTGTTATTTTACACTGAGGCAACACTCAGCAACTGAGGTCTGTTTGTCCATGGAATGGAAAGGGAAAAGTCAGATGACAGGAACACCAAATGTGTGGGCAACATGAGGACTAACAATTATGGAGCAATGTGCCTACAAACCAGCACTTAACTGCTACGTGTGGCCTTCTCTGAGCTTTGGGATGGTGGGTTTGGGCTTTTCATCAGTCCCCTCTTTTTGTCTCATTTAGGTGATGAGAAGTGAATATGACTGAGAACTACTGAATGAAATGAGAGAATTCTGAAGAAATCAGGGGGTGTTAGCACCTGGTTCAGTCTGCCAGAGGGTACTCATGGCTAAAACCAGTGCCACCCTATGCCCCAGGAGGATATATTTGCAGTACCTGGAGAGTGGTAGCAGCTCTCTCACTAAAAGGTCACTCCCCTCCTTATCTGAAATTTGCTTAACCCTGCAGATATGTAGGGAAACTGATTATACACTTTTATGCACTTCCTGAAAATCATCTCTATAAGGGGAAGAGTGGTGCTTACTGCAGTTCATGAAGAGTAAGGCCTTCTAAAGCCTTTGGCAGGAGATAAGTCCTTGATCCTTGATGTGCCTGGAAAATAAAGAGGAAACAAGGGAAGACCTAAAGCCCAAGGCCATACGTCTGCCTGAGTGAGAATGCATTGGTGTTTGCTTTGAATTACTTGTAGACATGGCAGATGCTTACTTTTCAAGTGTTTCACACTCAGTGTGCTACAGAAATCAAAGCAGTGTTTCTCACTCTTCATCTCTCTGATCTGCAACATAAAATGATGAACTGTTTAAAAACATGATATGCAGTAGGCAAAAAAAACAAAACAAAACAAAACAAAAAAAAAGCCAACAATACTGAGACAGCTGCACAGACCAACAGCTGTGACACACACAGGAAATTTGGATGGAAAGAACCATTAGTGCATTGAGACCATCTCCTCTCTTGTTAGCCGGGCCAGCCCCCTTCTAGCAGACTTTGCAAAAGCAGCTAGTTCATGTCAGATATTATATAAGTGTCTCTCAGATTTTGTGCCTCTTTAGTAGACTCTCAAGGAAAAAGCCTTTTCAGAGTTCAGTTTCTGCCTCACCTTTTCTTGTGTCCCGTGTGCAACAGACACAGGCCTATTATCTGTATTTAAGAAACTATTCAGACTACTATTTTGTGCTGTACTATCCAAATAATGATGTTCTTTTGTTGTTCTACAGCAGATTCAATTGCATGACAAAGCCCATAGTAGGATAGGTACATGATGACTGAGGACAGCTATTTTGCAACCAATCTGTTGAATGATTGATGTGTGTCTTGAATGTTAGAGAAAATAAATAGCTGGCAAGACTGTACGTGCCTTTTGGTCAGAGAACTCATCTCCCATTAAGCCTCAAATATTATAGATTTATTTTGCACGCCATATGCTTATCCTTTCAGCTCCTTAGGAACAGATGTATTACACAGATGATAAACACAAGCTCAAATTTTAGAGATTGCATGGCAAGACTGCACTGTGGTCATCCTGATTTCCCACTGATAAGCTGACCAATTTCAAATAATTTCCAGTGATAACATCCAAAATAAATGTTCCATGTGTAGTTGCAGTTGTAGTTGTGTAGTATATCTCATGGCCACGCAATGTCCAAAATTATTAATTTAATCTATCCAAAATTAAAAACATTCATGTTATTACAAACTATTAAAGATACTTGATGGAATGCGGGTTTCTTGGTTGTTTGTTTTTATAGGACTTTTTTTTTTTTTTCAAAGAGCATTAGCTGGAAAACTCTTTTTGCACGGACAGAATAAAAGATCTGAAGTATTGTCTGGCTCTTAAGCACAGTCTGTCATCTTCCACATCTTGCCAAACGCAGAAAACCATGTGTTTTCTGTCAGAGTCCCACAGCAAACCATGTGGAAAACAAGAGGCTATAAATAACTCCTCAACATGAAAGGTGACTAATCTGCTGCTTCCAATAATATCACCCCCCGATCTCCAAAATCCCCAAATTTTCTTTACCTTTACCTACCTTTGTGCTGAAGCGACACTGTGGCACTCTTCTCTTTAGAGATCTCATGCTACTTTTTCCTCTTTCAATCCTCAAATACTAATTGAATTAATTAACATGTCTATTGTCTTTGTGGAAATGTAGATTTCATAAAAAAGAACGTAATGGTAAATGCTAGCTTTGGAGAGTGTGATCCAGTACTGGAGGTCTTCTTTGTAATCCAAGGTACTGGTTTAATTTACTAGTTCCTCAGCTGATTAACTGATTATTTGCATTCCCTATGCCTTTATTTCCCCTGTCAGACTGGGGTAGGGATGGGGAAATGCATATTCAATGCCTTGTTTGAAATAATATAATGCATCTAAAAAAGAGTAAAATGTTATCCGTTGATAAAAAATACGATATAAGCACTAAATGCTACCACCACAAAGCAAAGAGTCAGCTACAACTGTGTTACAGAGCTTCAAATCCATACAGGTCTGGAAAAATAAGCAGGGAAGGATTTCCTCCAGCTGTCTCTCTGTCACTCAGCGTCTATCAGCTAGGGGACATGAATCACCCACTCCCTGAATCTGCCCAACGTTCAATGGAAATATGGCGCAAAACCACTGTTGTCTTTACTAAGCATATGCTAAAGATTTTAAAAGTGTGGTTTTAACTAAACTTGTAGTGATGAATAAGTATTTTAATTTTGTGCTGTATTTTAGTGTGCTATGAGCCAAATAATGACAAACTGAACAAGACAGATGACTTCATTTGTTGTTCAAAAATAAATTTTTCACATTACCTAAGTCACATGATTAATGGAAGTCACTTGCTGTATTTTTAAAAGTTATCTTCTTTTTCTCAACAGTAATTTTTTCAATAATTTCTATTATTCCACTGTCACATTTGATTTCAAGTTAAGTTAAAATCTCCCCTGGCATAGGCATCACTTCATCCTAAAGTTGTGCTCACCTACAGCCAAAATAACAATAGCAACAGTAACAATTTTGTAATGTGCTGAAACTCAATGTCGTGTCAAAAACAGCATTTCATAATTTTGGAGTTGTTTGTTATTTTGAATTTATTATGTATTTTGATAACCCCCAGGGTGAGTCATAGTAGGGAAGGCTGTCAGTTGATGAAGAACTGAAATCTTTATGCTATTCCACATTTTCTTTTTGACTGTGGCTTTGTCTGTTTTGTTGGCAAGTTGTAAAATTAGAATTTGGAGAGAATAGCAGAACAGTATTCCACTGCAAGAAAGATGTTTTCATCTGTGATTTTTCCTAGATTTTTCTAACTGATGTCACAGTTTTAAATTGAATTTGTGTAAAAGATCTATAGGTGTTTTTCTTGATAAATTCATTTAAAAACTCAACATTGGGAAATCTTCCCTTCATATCTAGCAATTCTATAGGGAGTCTATGCATTAGTTTACAGTAGGGAAGTTATACCTCAATGGTTCATGAAAATAGGAGTCCATAATGCACATATTTCCATATAAAAACATTAAATGTTTATGACTGATACAGAGAAAATGCTGATAATACTGAAGCTATTGGCTAGCTTAATCTCTTCCTTTTCTTGCGTTTTTTCAGGCCTCTCAGACTTCCTCCCTGACATAGCTTATCCTCGCTGTGTCATCTGAAATCCAGGAGTCCTCTGTATTCACAATATTTCATTCCTTTGCAGTTCCTTGTCTCTGGCCATCAGTGTCTCCCTGCCTCTAAGCTTGCCCCCCCCCCCCCCCGCCTCTTTTTCTTCTCACCTGTGTTCTCCTGTTTTTCCATGTTGTCAAATGCTTTCCAAACCCTAGCCCATGCCTCCTTTTCCATGTACCCGCTCAAAATTGGTTTGTGGGGAGTCCGGTTACAGCACTGGAAAGCCTAAGCATAGTTCAGCTCCATATACAGGCTTGGGAATAAAGCCTGTTGTAACCAAGCACCCTAACAAAACATTTTTGCAGTGCAAATAAGTCCTCTGTGTGGGAGGCCAACTTTTTGAATGCGCAGTGTATCATTTTAAAATTCCCTTGGGGCTCTAACCTTGTAGACAGATGTCTTAGACACTGGTAATGTGTCTAAGTGACTTTTCACGGTGATCTGTCGAGACAGCATCTGCTCAGCTGTCTTTTAGCAGACGAGTACAGGACAGCATCAAATCTGTATTTGATGTATTTCATCCTAGCCTGAATGTGGAGAACTCAGCCTGCTTCACCTGAAGCACCTCTAAAGGAAGAGCTAGGACAAAAATAAGTGACTTCATTTTGACCCAAGCAGGTAACAGTGAAAGGGAGTGGCCTTGTTTCTTCAGCATGAATAACATTTTTGTGACTTCCATATCACAATTCAGCAGCTCTGGTGTCAAATTACAGTAACAAAAGAAATGAGAGATGCTATGTGTGGGAAGAAGTGTTGACAAAAGCATCTTGTACAACTTCCTCTGGGCTCCTCAGCTGTGTTATCAGAGGTGGGCAGCTGTGTAGAACAAGCCCAGCTTTAGGGGAGCAAAGCCCAAGATTGCTGAGAACCAGCCTGTGGCAATGGCAAGAAATTGATTGATAAGCTTTCAAACTCAAGATCTATGATCCTTGCTGGGCTGCTGGCTCTGCCAGCCAGCAGATTAATTTGCTTAGTCTAAGTAAAAGCCTGGGCTGGAAAAACTGCACTGTGCGCTGTTTAGAGCATCCCCCATTTCTGATGGTGCAAAATGTGTTAAGCTTAAAAATACAAGATAGAACTAAAAACGTAAAGTTCATTAAAGCATTTTTAGATCCTTATAATATTAACTTTGGTTTCTTGCTTTGTATTCCAGCTTTTCAATTACGTCACTTCCGTGTTTTCAGATTCTTCAAGCTGCCCTACCATGATGATAGAAAGCTTCTGAAGGAAAAAGATACTGAAATTCCACAGGAATTCATTATGCCAGAAGGTATGGCTTCTCAGAACACAGAACAAAAGATAAAGTATGAAGTGCTTAGCATGAAGTTCTGGAGGAAATAAAAAGGTCTAGCAGGACTGTATCTCACAATTTTTCTCAGCTATATTTTCTCTATCACTGTGATACTATCCATATTAACATCAGCTTTATAGATCTCATCTTTGAGATGTGATGCCTGACTCCCTATTGTTTCCTCCTAAGACTTAGTTTGACTCCATCCCTACAAAGCCTTTCTTGCCTCTATGCTGCTTGGTTCTTTCTTCTAATCATTTGTCATGAGGTCTCTGCTAAATGTACTTCTGTGTGCAACTCATCACTGACCCATAGCCACAGGAAAACATTTCTCTGCACTGGATCGCTGATATGATGAGTATTGCATGTAAATTGCTCTGTTTGATAAAAACTTTAAGCTTCTCAGATGACTGTGAAATAGTGAATGCCAGCTGAGCTTCAGTGTAATTGTCAGTGCATGTAATTCAGTGTAATGTTTCCCTCCTCCGTAATAGTGTCTGCCAGTGGCACTCCCACTATTGTTCTAGTCCTGGCTCCTTTGCCAGCTAGAGGAGGGAAAAAAGGGCTTCCCCCACCTACTTTTAAGTACCTCAGATGACCTTTGATATCAGTGGCACCTGCTTTAATGCCAGCTTCATACAGCCTCTGTCACTGTAGACAAACAAAAATGGAAAAACCCTCATCTTAAAGTATTCTTTCACCTTAGAGAATCTGTAATGCAGCGTGTCAAATTCAAACATAGCAGGAGATGTTCTCCTTGGTCTTGTTAGAGAATTGTTTGTACCTGCCTACTGTGAAGTTTTGTATTCTATCCAAAGGGAGATTGCATGACTTCACCAAGAATCTGGGATAAGACTGACTTCAAAACTACACAGTTGTGGTCCTTATAAAAAGAGTGGAAAAGAATGCCTGGATCTAGAATTTGAGCAATAATGGATCCTCCTGTATTTAAGAAGACAGACAATTTAATTCCAGCTCTTCTGGCTTTGTAGCGGGTGTTGTCCAGAATCACACCGTTACTGCTTTGGGGATCCCTCTGCACTCCATGCACCTTTTCATTATGCGGCCTTGAAATTTAACACCTTTTCCATGTCACATCTTAGAATGTAAACACAAATCTTACAGCCCTGACAAGCGATTGCTGGGCCACTTAAAGGATATGTACCACTGTGTAGTTTGGAGCTGACAGCACAGGTCTCACTACTGCAGTAGCTGAGAGTGTGAATCTTGGCACTAGAATTCAGAATATGAATCTCACTGTGGAAGGATGCAGACCTCACACTATGAGGAGAAAAAAGGCGTGAGTCTTGGTATTTATGTCTGCAACACTAATACTGAAACATCCACATTGAGCTACAGTCTCTTGAGCTGTATCCTGTATACATGAAGAATGTGTTAGATTGAAAAAATCATGGTACAGTGATTTTCATTTCTGAACACTGAGGGACATCAGAAAAATATCCTTCATTTTTAGAACACAGCATTAATTACTTTTAGATATAACATAAAGAGTGTGTATCACACACATACTGATACACTAGACTGTGGCCTCATTATTTAAGTCTGAAGCCTTAGCAAGGAACAAACCCATGCCGGTCTTCTACTTAAGTCTACCTTCTGCTAGATCTTCTAGAGCTTTGTTCGTTGCCATATACACAGTTTCCCTTCCTTTTCTTGCTTACATTTGTTAAGACTACATAGGGCACCTTTTCAGGAGGACTGTCAATGAACTTGTGTAAATTCTTTTTATCTGCTTCATTTAAGTAATCAGGCTCTGGCTATGTCTTTCCTAGACCAGGCCCATTTTTCTCCTTTCTCCAGCACTACACTGAAACCTGCCCAGATTAACCAGCACTCCTGTGGTATTCCCTTTATTTCTTGCAAGCGTTAATAAGCTGCAGTGAGTCAGAGTGAACTCCCAGCTGGATGTTTTGGGTCTGTGCATGGGAATGAGCATAAAGGAGACACAGGGGCTAGCAGACAAATTTGTGGTGCACACAGAGTTAACATGCTGACAGAAACACTGAGGTTTACATCTGAAAAACCAAATGTAAAAATAATATGATGAGTAAGACTAAAATTCCCTGTTCTGAGCTTCCATGGGGCCAACTCCCCTCCCCCACCATTCAGGCATCAGCAGTCACTTCTCCTTTTTGCTGTGCCTTGCAGAAATGTGTCCTGGGATGAGTCAGAGCAGGACTTCCAGGCAGTAGCATTACTGCATTTGGCTCCCATCAAAAATGCCTTCAGCCAGGGCCTTCCACATATTCAGAGGGATCTCCTTCTCATTTGCCTGTTTCTCCCTGATACTCTTTTTTTCTGAACCAGGGGACTGTTGAAGATATGAGTTTGGAAGGGGTCTCTGGAGGTCACTTAGTGCATTGTCCTGCTCCGATCAGAGCTTCACAAGTAGATCAGGTCGCTCAAGGTCATATCTCCAGGAGACACCACAGCAACCTTTTCCAGGTCCATCTCTTCCAGGGCCTGACCATCCTATTGGGAAGGACCTTTGAAATCCTTTCTGCCCCATTCACATTCATAATCTCTCCAAGTTTTTCTGCTTGTCCATGTCCCATTTGTCATTGTTTAGCATCTACTCTTATGCTCCTATCAGGTATTTTATGTGCTCTCTCCGCATACTTTTGCTGGGCTGTGGTACCTTCCTTGCAGTTAGGACACACCATTCATGTTCCACCCTTTTTCAAAGAGAACAATGAGAAAAAAAAATGTTTAAAAATGTCCTGGGAACAGAGTGTAGAGAGCACACTTAGGTGTAAGGAACCAAGAGTTTAGTAAGCCACTCCAATCCCTTTGTCAGCAAGTTCTGTGATGAAAAATCAGCTGCGCAAAATGTCTTCCAAGGAGAGGCCATCTCCTGTGCTGGCTGGGGAGCCAGACTGCCTTTGAGCTCTCCTTAACTGAGAGCTTGCAATGTTTTCATGAGACACCCAGGGCCTTGTTCTCTTTGAGACTGTTCCTGACATTCTCCCACAGCCTCAAAGCTTTGGAGGTGGGGAGGGGGGAAGCTGAAACCTTCCCCGGGCTTGATCTGCTTAAGGATGGGGCTTACACAACTGCTCTCTGTCGTGTGAGGCAACCACGGTACAGCCATATCAGCCTCACTCCTGCACCCAGGCTGTGCACGAAGTCCTGACGACGGCATGCTCTGAGCAGTGAACTGCAATGGCAGCGCCGGGTTGTTAACAGGCATCGCGGTGGGACGCCGTGTCACTCCCTGCTGCATTTGGAGATTTTATGAAGGCCACTCGTGCGTTATTATCCTTGGGTGTAATTGCTTATGCTCAGTATCTCTGTAATAGATCAGATGCTGTACATCTTCTCTGCCCCGATGATGGTGAAATCCTGATTTCACCGCTGAAAGGCGTTTCGTTTCAAACCCTGAAAGTAAAACGGGGAGTTGGTGCGGGGCCGGCCGCCTCATTCTGAAGGCGGGTGGCACCTCCCTGCGGTGTCTCTGCAGAATTACAGCTTTCACAAGATCGCCACTTTCCCCAATACGGTATCAAGCTGCTCCCGAGTAATTTCGAGCTGCTAGACTCCAGAAGTCTCAAGAACCAAGCAGACGTGCGAGAGTAACCGATTCTGCATTTCTCCTTTCATATTTATTCCATCAGTCTTTCACCCTGAGTGTTCCAGGCTTTTTTTTCTCTCTTTGATTAGTGACCCAGCTAATTAGATATGTTTTTGATTGAATTAAACTCATTATTGACCTGACACGCATTACTAATTCTAATATTTAGCTTTGATTGTGCAATAAGACATCAAGTAGTTGTGTTTTTCATTAGACTTTGATAATCACGATGTTTGCAGCAATTTTTCAGTAAATAATTTTTCATTATAAAATACACTTGCCCAATGTACAGGACTAGCTCTACTGACATCTCATGGCTTTTGTGATGCTCACTATGCTAGCCTTTGGAGATTCTGCACGAGGTGCCTCTGCCTTCACTTCATGCCAGTGAGCTGCAGGGAGCTTCACAGCTTTTTTTTTTCTGGATAGTTGTTTTCGTTCCACCAATACAGTGCCCCATTCCTGCAAAAAGCCACAAACAGCCATAGACTTAAGCACAAGTAAGTGCTGGGGACCCCCAGGTATAAATGTCAGAGAAGCAAGAACAGGTTACAGGTCAGAAAGGAGGAGAACTGTGTGCATGCTGGCTTGTTCTGTAGTCTGCCATTATAAATGACGTGTGTTTTTTTCTTCTCAGATGGGAACACCGATCAATTAGGAATACAGAAACCTAAAGTCACTTTTGGAGAAAGGAGGATGAAGAGGTTCTGCGGCACGGGGAAGGTGAGAGGAGGTCCCTGTGCTTGGCTCCTGCTGCCTCATCGCTGTTGTAACAAAATCCCAGCTCTTGGCCCCAGCCCATAGGACTCTGGCTGAGCCACACTGCTCTCTGCCTGCTCCCAAAACGTCACTGCAGCTGAGAATTCAGCCACCAGCTGTGGAAAAGCTTCATTCGATGCACAATATGGTAGCTGCTGCCGCTTAGTGGCATGAGCTACTGAGTGCACATTTCATCCACTGTGCTCCCCGTGTTGGCTTACGGCAGGATACGAACTGAAACTGAAATCCTGCATTCCCGAAGTCAAAGCAAACCCATTTGCTTCACTGAATCCAGAATAGCATTCACAATGGATCCCAATAGCCCCAAATTCTCAATGTGGCTCAGTTCACCTAGGAAAGCAATGGTGACCATCACAGATATGATCCAGCAGCACAAGAAGCTGTGTTTTGGGAGGCAGTTGTTGAGGCAATGGGAAGCGTCTGTGAAACACAGGAACCACAACTGCAGAACCAAATGCCAACTCTTTTTCCAATGAAAATTTGCTTTCAGAGTTCAGTGCCCACTATAAACATTCTGCTTGCAAGTGAAAAAGATAAAACTTCTCAAGCTGCCTTTTCAACACATCTGTATATAGCT